GTTCAGGAATTTCATTCTGGGCGTTTCTGTGAACCTGTACGCGGGTTCTAGGACAAGAAAAAACTTAGAAAACTATTCACCCCAAGGCTGCAAGAATCATGCCAGACGCAGACTGATTTTCCACACGCTCTGCCCCGCGAGATAAAATCTACCTCTGTTTGAATCCCGGAGCTGGCAGGGACGGAGGCCCCGGGCACAGGCCTCACGCCACACCCAGGGGGACACGGCTGCCAGGGCCCCACCTTCCACCACACCAGCTCCCCAACAGGCTCCTGCCACCGGGCTTCAAAATGGACCCGAAGGGACCCAGGCCCTGGGCGAAAGCCTGGCGTCCCTGGAACTCGGGCCACCGGCTACACAGGCATCCCGCACTGTCTCAGTCACGTCCCCAGTCCCTGTGTGCTGCTTCCCCTGCTGTTTAGGAGGACAAGGTACGCTGTGCGTCCCGGATCTCTGTGACCTGTGACCCCATGCATCCTCCCAGACTCCCCGGCGTGTCTCTCCTCCGTCCCCTGCCGGGCAGTCACAGCCCGGCCCCCCCATGTGCTACAGCAGGTGGACTGAATGAACCCCGTCCCAGCTCCCAGCCCGTCCCCCCCCCCCGCCGTGCCCACAGCAGGCGGACCCCTGCAGGGGCCTTGTGTGCCTGCCGACCCAGCAGCAGACCCCAGCCCTCGCCAGAGCCTCGGGCACATCCCCAACTGGGCCACCCACCCCTCAGAGGGCCCTGTGCTCCCCGAGGGCTGACCGTAGACTGACTGTCAGAAGTTCCAGGTAAGCTAAGACACATCTCCAACCTCAGTGGCCTGGCATCTGTCACCACTGGCCTCCTTGGGGACCCTCAGCCCCCCAGATCCTCCCTGCCCCAGCTCACACTGGCCTTTGTCCACTCGGGCTGTGGCTCCTCAAGGCTGGGCCTGGGTCCCGTCCTAACCGCCCCCCTAGGCCTGTACCTGGGCCCTGATGCCAGCCCAGGCTGGGTGAACTGCAGGCTGGGTGAACTGCAGGCTGGGTGAACTGCATGCTGGGTGAACTGCAGGCTGGGTGAACTGCAGGCTGGGTGAACTGCAGGCTGGGTGAACTGCAGGCTGGGTGAACTGCATGCTGGGTGAACTGCATGCTGGGTGAACTGCAGGCTGGGTGAACTGCATGCTGGGGGAACTGCATGCTGGGGGAACTGCAGGCTGGGTGAACTGCAGGCTGGGTGAACTGCATGCTGGGTGAACTGCAGGCTGGGTGAACTGCATGCTGGGTGAACTGCAGGCTGGGTGAACTGCATGCTGGGTGAACTGCAGGCTGGGTGAACTGCAGGCTGGGTGAACTGCAGCCTGGGTGACAGCATAGGCTTTGTCGTGAGTGGGAGTGGAGAGCCAAAGGTGCCTGGACAGGTGGAGCCTGGGGAAGGGCTCTGGCGCACAGAGCATGCTGGCTGCCACAGCCCCCACCATCGCCATCACATCCCTCCACCTAGCCTGCTGCTCCTTGCTGAACACCTGTGGCTCACACCTACAATCCTAACTACTCAAGAGGCTGTGTTCAGAGGAACACAGTTAAAAGCCAGCCTGGGCAGGGAAGTCAGTGAGATTTGTATCTCAAAAAGCTGGAAGCAGAAGCGTGGTTCAAGTGGTAGAGCACCAGTCGAGCAAAAAAAAGCTCAGGGGACAGTGCTCAGGCCCTGAGTTCAAGCCCCAATACTAGCACTGGTACATACACGCATGCATGCACGCGCACACATGCACACACACACACATGCGCACACACCACACACGCGCGCGCACACCACACACACGCACACATACCACACATACCACACACGCGCACACACACCACACAGTTCCTGAGCAAGGAGACCATTCTCTAGAGCATCATCAAAGCTCTAAATGGTCAACTCCAGGCCAAAAACAAGTGCCTAGCTCTTCAGTGACCTGTGTGTCGCTCGGAAAACCAGCTCACTGCCGAGCGCCCCGGGCTCGTCAGCTCCTTGGCGAGCTGTTGAGTTCAGGGAACGCAGCACACGGCCAGACAAGGCTGGTGCGGCAGCAGCTCCTTCTCCTGGTCTGCAGTCCTCCATTGAAACGTCGCGGCATTAGCCTGCATCTAACTAGGCACATACTTTTGCCAATGCTCCGGGCCTAGCCGACTCTACCTTCCACTCCCCCACTCCCCCACCTAAGTAAACTACGGCAAGGTTACTCAATCTTAGTATTTCGCTGAGTTCCAATGTTTCCTGACAGGTCTGAATGACTCACCGACCAATCATTTTTACCCCACAAACGCTCCTTTTCCCACAGCCCTGGGAAGGAGGCAGCGGCCATGTCGAAGACCTGAACGCACAGGCACGTACAATTTTCAGGCGGATTTAAAATGTCAACATCACTAAAGGATGCACGACTAGGAAGTATTCTGCACCTGGCTTTCCCGTTGGTTTATTAGTCACACTGTTTTGAAAAATGCAAACACAGCTTATCTAAATGCTCCTAAGAAAAAAGTCCCTCTCTCAGACGTGACAACGGTCTCGTGCAAATGTCCCCACACATGGCATAAGGCTCTGCACAGCCTGGCCCACCCATACAAAAGCAGCAGCTATTCAAGGCTTTTTTCCCAAAAGTGTTTTATTGCTGGAAGGCTTTAAAAAAAAAAAAATCAACCACCAGGCACAGTGGCTCATGCCTATAATCCCAGCTCCTCATGAGGCTGAGAGCTGAGGATCGAAGTCTGAAACCCGCTGGGGCAGGAAAGTCCGTGAGACTCTTACCTCCAATGAGCCACCAAAAAGCAGGAAGTAGAGCTGTGGCTCAAACGGTCGAGCAGCAGCCTTGAGCAAAAAAAAAAAAAAAAAGCTCAGGAGCAGAGCTCAGCTTCTGAGCTCAGGCTCCAGGACCCATTTAAATGAAACTGTTTTAAATGCCAACACTATCTACCTAGCTAGTCACAATGGCTGTTGGGAGCCCACACCCAGGCGGCTGGAGCGGCCTGTTCTCCAACACTCCGCAGCGCTGTGAGGGCCTCTTCCCGCCCGGTGCGCCAGCCGGTGCTGGGAAGGAGACTCAGCTTTCCCTAGAACCTCAGGCTGCCAGACTCTCCCTTTCCTTTCCCTTCCCTCGGGCACCTCTAGGGCAGTCATCGCATCAAAGGCTTTAGGGTACGGCTATAAATCCTGCGAAGCCAATTACCCGCATTGAAAACCCAGGCTAAGAGGGAATCAACAACTTTCCCACATTGTTCTGTCCTTCTTTCTTCCTTTTTATTGGATTTTAAGACAGAGTCTGGCTCTGCAGACCAAACTGGCCTCATACTCTAACATGTCCTGGTCTCCACCTCCCTGGGATTACAGGAGTGAGTCACCACGCCCACCTTCTGCATTGTTCCTACTAAACCCTAAGCACCGCCTCCAGCTAACTCAAGGCCCCATCTCTTGGCAGGGTTTGGTTTCCACTGGGTGGGGGGCGGGGGGAGGCCTACTGTTTGAACCTGTGCTTCTGGAAGTCTCCAGCAAATCTTGTCTTTGGGGAATTAAATAATAGCTAGCTGGTCTGAGGGCTGCACCATCCGGTGTGGATATCTTACACAGGGCACCAATCCGTTTAGCATTTAGTTTCTCAAGAATTCTCCCTTAGGTGTGAGAAGGGGACTTCACAATCCCGGTCACAGTGCCCCTCTGAGCCTCAGTTTCTTCATCTGGCACAAAGGACTTCACAAGGCCACAGGCAGTCACCATGGGGGAGGGGACAGCTGAGGATCTGGGACAGCGCCGGGTAGTGCAGGGTCCCCAACTCTGTGACGGGGGTGCTGGCTGTGCCCGGGAGGTGAGCCAGCCCTCTGAATACAGCTCCTCCATCTGCTCCCATGCACGGACACCAGGAACACACAGACGCCTGCTCTGACACACGGACCTGCTCCCGCCCCCCCACTGAGCCTGCCCCCAACTCTAAGCCCTGCTGTGTCAAGGTGTTCCTTGGCTAATGGGGCCAAATGGTTCACTCTGCTTTCCCTAGCAGATAAAGGGGTGCAGGGAAATAAACAGTACCCCTGGCTAGCGATGTGTCACTGAGAGACTTCCCGGGACCTTTCACCGCTTCACACAGCCTAGAACATTCGCGAACAGGTAGACGCTGTCAGCGACAGCGCCAGAGCAGCTGCTGAGCATTGCATCTTTTTTTTTCTGGGGGTGGTGGTGGGTGGTTGGTCATGGGTCTTGAACTCTGGGCCTGGGCGCTGTCCCTCAGCTCTTCAGCTCAAGGCTGGTGCTCTACCATTTGAGCCACAGCGCCACTTCTGGTTTCCTGAGTGGTTTATTGGAGATAAGAGTCTCACGGACTTTCCCACTTGGGCTGGCTTTGAACCGTGAGCCTCAGATCTCAGCCTCCTGAGTAGCTGGGATGACAGGCGTGAGCCACCGGCGCCCGGCTCCACGCATCTCTCTACGGCAGCAGCCCCAGAAGCTGCCAGGAGACACCCGGGCAAGGAAACATCTGGCTGCCGGCCTTCCTGGGTCAAAACAGCGGCCATCTGCACAAACAGGGCCAGGGGAAAAGTAACTTTTGTAGAGCCCCCAAAGCAACACTGGGTCCTAATCATTCATTGTTTGAAATAGGGCTCCTCTGAAGCCTGGCCTCAACCACCCACAGACCTGAGCCCTTCTGGGTGGTATTTTGGTCACCTGCCTGCATCGCATCTGGGGATACCAGCCAAGCAGACAGGGCCCCTCACAAAGCCCCTGGGGGCCCTTCACTTACCTTACCCCGGCCCAAGCCCCTCTCCTCCGGGTCTCCCGCTTCCCACACCTCCACTGTCCTCCTGGCCCCCACCCCACAGGCCTGGCAGGCAGGGGTCAGCTGCGTCGACGGCCCACGTGGCCGCCCAGCCTTGGCGACAGACAGACATTTCCTCTCCCTTCTGGCTGGGAGCAGGGCCACTGGGATCCCACACCAGCTCCACCTGTGAGACGAGGGGCCTCTCAACACACTCTCAAAGGAAAAGCCCGTGACCATGAGCAGAGATCAAACAGCACTGCGCTTTTCAAAAAGCAGCCCGGAGACAGCCACCCTGAGCCGGTCCTTGTTATTATCTGGAGGAGACAGAGAAGCGAGACTAGCAAACAGCAGACGTCTTACAGGCTGACTCAGGGACCATCCTGCAATTTCCAACGGTCCCACCCGGGAGCTAATTGGCACATTGGAGCAGGCAGTGACCTTTGATCCTTCTAGACACCTCCCTATGAGACAAGCAGACTAGAGGACATCACTGAACAAACCAGATGACCCGGATAACCCTGGGGCCAGGGTTTATTGGCATCACTCTGGAAAAGCACCCAGAATCCCTGCACTTGAACTTGAAGAAGTCCAGGCCTGCTCCCTGCAAAACTGCAGAGGGAAGCAACCAACGCCTCCCCCACCTCGCCGGGCCTGGCAAGCCCGTGACCTGGGCAGCCGATGCCCTGCCCGGATGTGCCCCGGCATGCCGGCAGGGCTCCTGGTGGGTCCCCGGGGCTCTCTGCGCAGCCCCCAGGGAGCAGCCCCTCCCGTCCCCAGGCCACTCACCCGACACAGACACCTCCATGAGCGCCTCCAGCGGCCGGTTGTTGTCCAGGTCCCGGCTGAGCTGCAGGTCGCCCGTGGCGGGGTCCAGCAGCAGCAGGTGCAGTTCGTTGCCTTGCAGGAAGGTGTAGTTGAGGCTGTCCGACAGGTCGGGGTCGTAGGCCGGGATGCGTCCGATCACCCCACTGGGGAAGCTGTTGGACTTGTTGGTGACATAGTTGTTGAACAGAATCTGGAAGTCGGGCAGCTCGGGTGGGTTGTCGTTCTGGTCCAAGAGGCGGATGTGCACCGTGGCCCGGCTGACCAGGGGGGCCGATGTAGCCTGGACCACCAACACGTAGTCCCTCTGGACCTCGAAGTCCAGCTCCACCAGGGCCCGGAGGTCCCCGCTCAGCAGGTCCAGCTGGAAGACCTCCGGCACGTTGCCCTCTACGATCTGGTACATGATTTGCGCGTTGGGGCCTTCGTCCGGGTCGTGGGCCTGAATCCTGGCCACCACTGACCCCACGGGGCTGTTCTCCTCCACAAACAGCGCCAGCTCATCCTTCTCGAACACAGGCGGGTTGTCGTTGATGTCCAGCACAGTCACCTGGATCTCCACAGAGGCGCTGAGGGGAGCCGGGCTGCCCCGGTCCACCGCCAGAGCTCGCAGGTTGTACACAGCCACGTTCTCTCGGTCCAGCCGGCGCTGGGTGCGGACCACGCCGGACGTGGGCTCGATGTAGAAGTCTCCATGGCCGTCATCCCCGCCCTGGAAGGTGTACACGAGGCGGCCATTGGGGCCCGAGTCCCGGTCAGTGGCAGAGACTTGTAGGACACTGGTGGACGGGGGCGCGTCCTCAAACACAGAGCCCTGGTAGAAATCCCGCAGGAACCTGGGTGCGTTGTCGTTGGCGTCGAGGATCAGGATCTCCAGGGAGGTGGTGTCTGACTTCTGCGGGATGCCGTTGTCCCTGGCAGTGATGGCCAGGGTGTAGGCGGCCTGGTCCTCGTAGTCCAGCTCCGTCATGGTGTAGATGGTGCCGGTGTCGGGGTCGATCCGGAACTGCGGCACGGGGTCCTCTAACACGTAGGTAATGCGCGCGTTCTCCCCCGTGTCCTCGTCGCTGGCACTGATGGTGGCGATGGAGGTGCCCACGGGCCGGTCCTCCTTGACGCTCACTGTGTAGTGGGAGCTCTGGAACACGGGCCGATGGGTGTTGGCGTCTGTGACGTTGATGAAGACCTGCGCAGTGTGCGAGCGCGTGCCGTCGGATGCCGTCACGGCCAGCACGTACTGCCGCTCCTGCTTGTAGTCCAGCGGCAGCGCCAGGGTGATGAGGCCGCCACCGCTCTGGCTGCTGAGCGCGAAGCGGTTGCGGGTGTTGCCCCCGGTCAGCTGGTAGGTGATCACGCTGTTGGCGTCGCGGTCCCGGGCCTGCAGGGTGAGCACGCTGCTCCCCACCGCCGCGTCCTCGTTCAGACGGAGCTCGTACACGGGCTGTGTGAACATGGGATCGTTGTCGTTTACGTCCAGCACGGTGATGGACACGCTGGCCGACGAGCTCATGGGTGGCGAGCCGTGGTCCACCGCCTCCACGCCAAAGCTGTAGCGTTCCACCTCCTCCCGGTCCAGGTCGGCACACACGGTAATCCAACCCGAGCTGTTGTGGATCTGGAAGGGAAAGTCTCGGGCGGAGACGGGGTCCTCGGGACCGGCGCTGCCGCCGCGGCCCAGGGCAGCGGACGCCGTGTCCACCAGGCGATAGCGCAGGCGTGCGTTCTCCCCGGCATCCGCGTCCACGGCCTGGATGTGCAGCACGGAGTGGCCCACGGGCACGTTCTCCACCACGGCCGCCTGGAAGGGGCTGCTCACGAAGATGGGGGCATTATCGTTCACATCCAGCACCTGCACGGACACCAGACCCGAGGAGTTAATGAGCGGGGGCCGGCCCCCGTCCTGCGCCTTGATGCGCAGCGTGTACTCGCGGATGGCCTCGAAGTCCAGCGGGTTGATGACGTCCAGGCTCCCGCTCAGGGAGTGGAGGTAGAACTGGCCCTTCAGGTTGCCGCTGACGATGCTGTAGTGGATGGCCGCGTTCTGGCCCTGGTCGCGGTCCGTGGCCTGCACGCGGAGCACGGGGGTGTTGACCGCCACGTCCTCGGGCACGCGCACCACGTAGCGCTTCTCGCTGAACTGGGGGTAGTTGTCGTTCTCGTCCTCCACCACGATGTGCACTGTGGCCGTGGCGCTGAGTGGGCCCGGGTTGCGGCCCTGGTCGTTGGCCTCCACCAGCAGGTGGTACTCGGCCGCCTCCTCCCGGTCCAGCAGCGCGCGGGTGCGCACCACCCCGGAGCGCGCGTCGATCTCGAACACGCCGCCGCCGCCCCCCAGCAGGCGGTAGCGCATGTCGGCGTTGGAGGGCGCGTCGCCGTCGGTGGCGCGGATGGTCAGCACCTCGTAGCCCAGCTCCAAGTTCTCGCGCACGCGCTCGCGGTATTCGGACTGCTCGAAGACCGGGCTGTGGTCGTTGGTGTCGCTGACCGTCACGGTGAGGTAGGTGGCGGCCGAGCGGCGCGGCGAGCCGTGGTCCACGGCGCTGACCCGCAGCACGTGCGTGTCCTTGGTCTCGCGGTCCAGCGCGCGGGCCGTGCTGACCGCGCCCGTGGCCGAGTCGATGAGGAAGTAGCCGTTGGAGCGCTCGTCGAACAGCGCCTCCATCTGGTAGCTCAGGCGCCCGGCCTCGCCCTCGTCGGGGTCGTGGGCGCGCAGCTCGATGACCGCCGTGCCCGCGGGCTCGTTCTCAGGCACCGACACCTGGTAGCTGGGCAGCGGGAACTGCGGGCTGGAGCTGCCGCCCGCGCCCCGCCGGGCCCGCCGCGCAGCCCGCGCCCCGCCCCGCAGCCGGCTGGGCACCGGGGGCCGCGGCGATGGCGATGGTGCCGCCTCCCCGCCCAGCTCCGCCCGGACGGCGCGGGCCGCGGGCCGCGGGGCGCACGGCAGGCGCGGCGGGCAGACGGGACGGCGCGGGCAACGGGACCCGGAGCGAGGCGGGCAGCGGCAGGAAGGGAGGGCAGCCGGGGCGACCAGCAGTGGGGCCGCGCGGCCGCCAGGCACTGGGAAGCAGAGCGCCCCGCGGAGCCCCGGCGCCGGGAGCGCGGCCCGCGCGCGCAGCTCCGCGCCCGCAGCCGATCGCCGGCGCAGCCGGGCCCCGCGGCCGGAGCCCGGGGCGCGCGCCCGCAGCAACCGATTCCGAGCCGTCGGGGCGCCCGCAGTGCCCGGGCGGGCCGGCAGCGGCGGCGGCTGCGCCCCGGCGCGCGCACAGTCCGGGGACCCCGCGCGCGGCCCGCGGCGCCGGCCCGCCTGCGGTCCGGCCCGGCTCACGTCCAGCGGTCCCCGCGGCGCCCGGGCCGCGCGATCGGCGTCCAGCAAAGAGACCCAGCCGGGCCCGAGGGCGACGGCGCGGACCCCGCCGGGCGCGCGCGGCTCCCCGGCGGCCGCTCGCGACCCCAGCGCCGGTAGGACGGCGGCGGCGGCCAGGAACACCATCGCGGGCAGCACGGGCGGCGGCGACGGCGCCATGGCCCGGAGCCCGAGCCCGAGCCGGGCTCCCGAGCACAATCCATGCACCCGGCGCGCCTCCGCATGCACCCGGCGCGGCCGGGGGGCGGCTCCCAGGCGCCTCGCGACGGGCCCCCGGGACAGCCCGCGCCCCGCCTCCCCGGGAGCCCCGGCAGGTCCGCCGGGGACCGCGCGCCCGGCCTCCCCGCGGCTTCCACTCGGAGAGCCCTGAGCGAAAGTTTGCGAAGTTGGTTTCAAGATGGCTCCTGCGCGCGTCCCAGGAGGGCGCCGCGCGTCAACCTGCGGCCGCGGCGGCTCCGGGCGGCTCCGGGCGGCCCCGGCGCGGGCTCGGCCCGGCGGGCGTGGGCGGCGGCGCGGACCCGGCAAGGGCGGGGGCTGCGCGGCCCAGGCTGTCCCGGCCGGGCTGCGCCTCGCGGACCCTGGCGACTCGGGGCTGCCCAGGCGGTGCGCTCGGTGGCCCGCGCTCGCCCCGCCCCCGCCCCGCCCCGCCCCGGGCCCGCCCCGGTCCGGCCCCGGCCCCGCAGCTTATTGTTCGGCCCCTGGGGGAGCCGGCCCGGAGGTGCGCGCCGCGGTGGTCACCATGGCGACGCGCGGGCGCGGCCGGGGCGAGGCGGGGCCAGGCCCACCCCCGGCGGCCGACCGGGCCCGGGCCTCCGCGGGGGGCGCGGCCCGGGGAGCGGGACGCGGAAAGGCGAGGTGGGACCTCCGTCCTCCGCGGCCGACCGGGCGGGGGCTCCGCCGGTCCCCGTGCCAGGCGCGGTCCAAAGCCTCAGACCCCACCTGGCAGGGCTGCTCGCGGGCCCGCAGCCCCCAGGCGCGTGGATGGGACCCAGGGGTGCGGGACAGGGACCTGCTGGGTCGCCGCGGCGCAGGGCACAGGTGCACGCCGAGGAGAGGCGCGCCGAGGGCAGAGTCGTCCAGACTTGGAAAACCAGCGGGCGACTAACTGGATTCAGGTTCCACTTCGCTTAAAGCACAGGTTTTACACGGAGAGAAAAACAACCCTGCTCGCCATAGGGTGGGGGGTGGAAGTGAGCTCGACGCTCCCCACGCGTGCTGCCGCCCCGGAATCCGCGCCCGTGTCTGGTGTCCCTGCCACTGGCCGCTGCGCCCCAGGATGCTGGGGACGGGGGGGGGGGGGGGGGGGTGGGGCAGCCACGGGGAGGGCGAGACAGAAGAATGTGAGGCCCGTGCCTGGGGAGGAGAAAGTGGGGGGGACTTTAGCTCTAGGAGAGCCCCCCTTCTGAAGAGTGCAGCCTGGAGGCGGGCTTCCACATCCTGGCCCTCCCTTCAGCCGTGGCCAAGCTCGCTGCAGCCCCTCAGGTCTCCCACCCCACCGAGCCGTGGAGGGGGGGGCGGCCTTCGGGTTCCAGAGGGACCAGCTGAGGCAGTGCAGGCTGACCCGGGAGGGTCTCCAGTCCTAGGTGGCAGCGGAGAGCTGAGCCCAGAAAGTGAGGGCGAGGGTAGCAACTTTAGGAACTAGGCCAGGAGCTGGGCACCTGTAATAACCTGTAGTTATCCTGGAGGCTGAGATCTGAAGATCGGATGCAAAGCCAGCCCAGGCAGACAAGTCCAGGATTTCTTATTTCCAATTAATTGGCAAAAAAGGAAGTGGAGGTGTGGCTCAAGTGGTAGAGCACCAGCCATGAGCAAAAAAAAGCCTAGGGATTGCAGGTGTCCCTGAGTTCAGGCCCCAATACACTCTATCTCTTTTTCTTTCTTTCTTTCTTTCTTTCTTTCTTTCTTTCTTTCTTTCTTTCTTTTTTTCTCTTTCTTTCTTTCTTTCTTTTTTTCCCTCTCCTCTCTCTCTCTCTCACACACACACACAAGATGGCAAGGGTTCTCTGTCATTGTGTGTCTCATACATTCCATCAGTTTTGCTCCAAGTTGCTGTTCCTATCTGAATACAATCGGAACACATTTTATTGATGTAAACTTCACTTGGGCGTGGGGAACAGTAAAATCACTTGGTGTAAGACAATCAGACATGTATGGTGCTTGTAGCCTTCCCCAGGCCATCTGCCTGTATTGATCATTTTTGTGTGGCCCCCAGAATGACATTATAAACATCCAAATGGCCCTGGGCCCAGAAGAGGTTCCCCACCACCACTGCCAGGTCGGGAGTTTCCAACTGGCAAGTCCCATGGGGAAGTGTGTGTGTGTGTGTGTGTGTGTGTGTGTGTGTGTGTGTGTGTGTGTGTGTGTGTGTGTGTGTGCGCGCGCATGTGTGAGAGAGGGGGGGAGGGAGAGGAAGAGGAGGAAAGCCCATCCCCTGACTGTGACTGGGCCAGGACTCAGACTTCACCCCCCCAAGTAGGGGTCCAGGGACTAGAAGGCAGGGAGAATACCCATGCCCAGGGTGGAAAGCTCTACATTGGGGTGTGAAAGAGCTCAGAAAGAGGGGAGCTGAAGAACCACTTTTGCAATCAGGCTTTAAATAGGGTGGGTTGGGCTTAAATAAACAACATTTAAATGCAGTGAATGGGTTCAGGTGTGGGCATGCTTTGCTGGAACCAGACACCTGCAGGCTTCCAAGGTAACCGCAAGGACTACCCAGCATGCATCATTTCCTGGTCCAGTGGACCAAAGTAGGTAACAGAATGTCTGCACAAGGCCAAAAGCCAAAGGGAATCTACTCACAGCCCAAACCCCAAACAGAGCTGTGCTGAGGAGCACCCACAAGAAGAAAAGAAAGAAAGTAGGGAGGGGATTAAGATAGATCCAGGGAGATAGGGGCCAGGGAGATCCCTTCTGCACTGAACATCACCCAGTGTGTGTTGATTTTCTGGACTTCACTGAAACTCACGCACAGGCTCCGCGTACTTCCTCCTCTCACGCATGCACAAGTCCACGGTTTTAAATGAGGGAGGGAGATTGGAATGAAAAGACAGGCTGCAACTTGTTGGGGCACAGCAGGGTGGTCCCGTTGTATCCAAGGGACAGAAGTGGGTGTGTTGGGGGAGCACGCTTGCCCAGCACGCTCCAGGCCCTGCTCCCGACCCGAGTCACTCAAAGCCAACCCTTACAGTGACCCACATCAGCTGCTGGGATGCGTGTGTGGAGCTCAGGGGTGGAGCTCACTGCGTCCACGTGCACGGGCCCGTTTCCTGTGGGTTCTGCCGGGCGCTGACCCCATCTGCCCAGGTGCTTGGAGAAAGGGGAGTGAGCCCCAGAGACAGGACGGGAGGCACCCGGGGCTCAGGGGAGAATGAGGCAGCTGGGTGGTGGCCTCCCCCAGCACCACCGGAGGGAGTGGTGGCCACCGTCCTGCTCCAATGCTCTGTCTGAAATGGCTTCCACTAGAGATACCTCCTCCTTTCCCCCACGCCAGGGCTCCCTCATCCCCACTGGCTTCAGGGGCTCCTCCCTTAGGAGAGACTAGGAACAACCCAAGTCAATCTTACACCAGGACACCTGGGAACAAGGACTCCATGAGATGTTTGTTGTACTTAGAATGGCTTACACTACGGCAGAAGCCTGGAATCCTAGCTACTCAGCAAGCTGAGCCCCTTGAGGCTCATCTCCAATTAACCAGCAGCTAGGCCCTGCGTTCAAGCCCCCCCTTCCCTTACTGGCACAAAAAAGAGTCAGAATTGTTTGTTGAAATTTGAAACTCTGAGTTTCTGATGTTGAGTATGAATTCAATATTTTGTTTTGTTTATTTTGTGGAGGACCAGGATCTAAATAAATACTAGAATCAATTCCTCACATACTCAGTATATATGATTGGACCAGGCATTTAAACTCTTGCTGGGCTGGTGCTGTACCACTTGAGCCATTCCTCTAGCCTGACTTTTTGCTGGCTACTTTGGGATGGAAATAACTGTCTTTTCTGACTTTTCTGCCCAGGCTGGCTTTGAACCATTATTTCCCTGATCTCAGCCTCTTGAGTAGCGGGATTACAGGTGTGATGGATTAGTCAAGTTGTAATTCTGCTCCCCTGGGCTTCATAGGAAGAAACCCTGGCAAGCAGAGCTCTGTCTTCTCCACACCACCCACCCGCCCCCAATTTGGTGGGGTTTAACTCATGGAAAAATCTTGAAAGTTAAAACATGGAACCCAAACTCCCAGAGACTTACATTAATTAAGATGTTAATAGAAGCAAGAGGGTGAAGGGAATTCAGATCCCAATCAGCCTTCCCTGAAAGACCACAGCTAAGCTTATGACAAAAACCAGAAAATATGTTCCTGCTAAAAAGGTGCCAAACCCCACCCAAACACAGATGGTACTATGTCACCTCTGCCAAGGAACGGATGGCAGCCTGATCCCTCCCCAGACTTGCTCCCTTCCAGTAACCGGAGATGTCCGCACCTGACCCACCAGCACCCATTCCTGGAGAGCTTTGCTCCAGGATCCTGGGGAGCTTGAACTTCAGGAAGGTTCTGGAAGGCTCCAGATTGCTCGACTGACAGGCTTGGGGCTGGAGCTTCATCAAGGGCTCTGCTCTGGCATCTGCTGTTGTCCACCTTGTGACCCCCCCCCCCCGCCCCCCAGCAGCAGTGAGAGCAGGCACACAGGCTCCATCTCTGGGCTGCACTGGCCCCTAGTGGCCAGTTGCAGTGCTGCCCCTGACCGTGGGTTTGCCGCACTGCCTGTGCCCTGGGCATGTGCCCACTCTTGGACCTCTGGGCTGTAGCCACCCTGAGAGAGCCCCTCCTTTGCGGTACCCGCTGCGTGACCCCCTTCCCGCTGCCTGCCTCCTGGGGCTAAGGATGTGTGCTGGCTGCATCAGCCCGAGGACTGTGGGCAGGGCCCGGCCACACGCCTGCAGGGTGCCGCTGTGGCGTTTGAACAAGGCCACCAGAGGAGGGGCAGCCCCAGGTGTGGACAGACAGACAGGGGGCTTCCTGAGGGGGGTAAAAAGGGAGCCCGGAGCTCGGAGCGCCACAGCCCGGGTGCAGGGGCCGGGCAGCCGCATTTCTTCACCGTTACCATTGCGGTGGTCACTGGCAGCCCTGTCTGACCACCGTCACCAAGCCAGGCTGGGGAGGCCGGCTCT